GCGAGTCACCCAGTAACCCATTTTCATGTGGAGAAAAGGTAAACAAATGGAGTGTTTAGCAATGTTGTCAGATTTTTTTCGTAACTATGTTTGGTTTGGTCAGAAAAATGAAGCAATTTAGTGTTTCAACCGATTTGATGGTGGACTTCGGATTTTTTCTAAAATTTTAATATAAGTAAATTATATATAAAATTTATAAAAATAATGAACAATTTTTTTTATTTAAAAAAGACATTTCTTTGCTTTAGACAAAGAGGATGAAGCTATTGGAAAACGTGGCCTACCAGGGCCCTTTTTCTATCTGAAATTTCCATTAATGATATAAAAGTGATTTTGTGGTATATGTGAAATTCTATATGTTTTTAACATGAGCGATTACCATATACTCAAATCCATTAGTTGAGCTTTAATAGGATGTGGCACTAGAGGGAAAATGCAGTGTCATTGGAGGGGAAGCCCAACGGTTTGTTTTGAATTCCTTGTGAAAATTTGTTTTGCATGAATTATAAATATACAAAGTTTTTTTAATTGTAGGATTGCTTGGATGACATCCTATTATTTTAGTATTTATCAGACTAATCTCAAGTTAACTCATAACATAAGATTAATAGTTTAGTGACAACTTGTTAATTGTAATTTGCTGTTCTGAAGGAAATTACAGAAGGAGTTACACTTGGATCTCAACTCTTATAGACCATTAATGTGAGGGTTACAAAGTTATATTACTCAAAGAAGGAGGCTAATTGAACTCTCATGTGTGCCTTTTATTGGATGGCTTGATCTATAGAATTTGGCATGGAATCTTAAGTTCCTTGTGTGTGATTTAAAGTCATATTTGAGCCAATTATACATTGACTTATTTCATTACTTACTTTGAGTATTATATTTTGCATTGGGACCAGCAAAAGCATCGGTTGAAACGGCCGAATCGGACCGAAGCAGTCGAAGCGGTTGTACTGGGCTTTTCTTTACTTTGTTCTAGGCTCCGAAGACTTCATCGTCTTCAGCCGAAGGAAACTAAACTTGATAACATTAGTTTTTGGCTTTCTTTTTTCTTTTTATTTTGAGTAATGATTCCATGCAACGATTGCATCATAATATAATGCAACAACCTTCAAAAACCATGTTATGGCCATTTGTTTAATCCAAATTATGAAATATACACTTATTTCATTATAATGAACAATCACAAAAAAATAAAATAAATAAATAAATAAAAATGAAAACACAACTTAGAAAGTATTTTTTTAGCCCAATTAACATAGGCTGTTCATTTTGGTGAGATGCTTAGATCTAGGCCTTAGAAGAATTTTTTCATTTCTAATCTTTTTAGATGGTTTTATTATCATTAGATGAACAATGTTAAAAAAGAAGAAATGATTTTGAGTTTATAAAAGCTAAGATCTTGAAATTTATCAAATGAATGGTCTAGATTCGTTTTTGGAAGGGACTCATTTTGACCATATCTAGGGTTCAAATTGAACTTTTTTTTTTTTTTTGAGATTGATAATTGAGATGAAGAGAATGTATGTAGCAAATTTTGGATCATACAAATAACACAAACATGATTTTTTAAAAATGTCGTTGCATTATAGTATGATGCAACCGTTGCATGAAATCATTGCTCTTTTATTTATTTTTGGTTCTTTTTTGGATCCATAGTCAATATCTAACCCATTACGGTCAATTTGGACAAAATCGAGCCCTCTTTGAACCAAAACATTTCTATTGATCAAGTGCTGTATTTGGGCAAGATTATGTAATAAAAATCTCGTTGTTTATTATCACTAAAATCCAATCCACCTTTCTTGCAATTTCTGGCTCATTTATCGATTACATCATCTAAACTTAGATCCAAAAGTTCGTATTAGAGCTCACTTACTAAACCTTACAACAATTGGTTGAATCGAAAAACAAATTGAAGAAATCAAGTGTCCAAATTTCGGGAGTTCTTCTAACCTGAAGCAAAATATATGATTTCTCTCTCATTTTTCCATCAAATTTATTCGAATTTTCTTGATAATGATCCTATCACATTAATTTATGAATCCCTAACAATGTTTGTTGAAACAAAACAAAAAATCTCTAAAGATTGATAATTTATTTTTTTATGGGCTATTTTTGTCATTTTCTTTGAAGTTTTTCTTTATTTTCACTTTTTTATTTTATTTGCACCACTTATTAGATGAAATCAAATATGTAATTTTGAATATATAATTTTTTTCTAAATGTTTTGCCATTTTTCTCTATTTTCTTTTTTACATATATTTTTTAAGTTGCCTGAGTCGGCAGGCTAGTGCCTTGCATGTAGCAGCTTTGGCTAGCCAAGCTGGGTTCTTAAAAGCTGGCACATAATGAGCATGATGTGTTCAAAATGCATGACATTTCTTAGTTTGAGTAATTATAAATTGCTATATTGAATCATCACACATCTTTTTTTTCCAAACTTACACAGGTAATATTATTTGGAAGATAGCTAAAAGTGTTATTTTGTGGGAGATATGGAAGGAACGAAATAAGAAAACTTTTTGATAGGGATTACCTACCCTTTGAGAGGGTCCTCAACGAAATTGAATATTATAAAGGAGGGGTGGGGAATTTCAGAAGTGGACATTCCACCACCTTTTATAAAACTCTACTTCAAAGTTCTAAGGCCCCACTAACCACAAGATAACTTTCTTTAAAGGTCTTCTTACCATGTTAACAAAAACGAATCCTAGTTTTCTAAAGAGAGAACCGTGTTTACCCACCAAAATTTAGGCAATAACTCTTAAAATGCGATCTAAAAGATTAGATCCAAAGATATGCCATAATGGAGTTCAAAGAAAAATAAATAAAAACAACTTATCATACTAAAGTTTGCCTAGCCAAAAAAAACAAAGTAAAAGGAAAGAAAAATAAACAGACTCACTCCAAGAAAACAGAAAAAGAAAAAAAATGGGCGCCATTTGTTAAAGCAAAAAGGTTATATAAGGTTGCAATCTTAAAAATGTAGAAATACAGATACACCTCAAAACTCTATTGGAAAAGGTTGTTTTAATGTTGAAAAACCCTCTAATTGATCATCTCTACATCAAGATGTTTGAATATAAAAAAAAAAGATTTTGAGTCCCAAAAATAGTGCATCTTGCAACACATTATCTATGCCGTCTATTTTCAAGATTTTCATATGTTTATAGATCTTCTTGGTTCTAACCAGCGTTTTAAAAAACGCCGAGTCGAACTGGACTCGCCCGGTTCGACTCGGAAATCGTGAAAGGGGACCGGATCGCCTAAAAAATCGGAAATCGTCCGGTTCTAGAGAGAACCGGACGATTCTGTACAGTGAATCGCCGATTCACTGTACGGGATCGGCGAGTCCGAACAGTGAATCGGCGCGTCCGTACGGTTAAATTTTTTTTTTTTTATTTTTTTTTGTAATCCATGATTAGTA